TAAATACTGTATAGCATATAGTTTTGGAAGTTGATGATTTCACATTGTACGGGATTGCTGGGTCATTTAGTATTTACATTCTTTCTTTTTTTTTTTTTAAGGTAAATTCTGATCACTTTCCATAATGACTGTACAAGTTTACATTCCACTAATAATGTAATAAAGTTTCTCTGTTTAAAGAGATACCTGTATCTCTCCTAAAGTTCTTGTTGGAAATCTTTAATATATGCATTCTTACACACTGGAGATAAGATGTCATTGTGGTTTACACCTGCATTTCTTACTGGAAATAATGATGAGCATTTTTGTATATCTGTTGGCCTTTGGAGATCCTCTTTGTTCAGATTTGCTGCCCATTTTTAAAATTGACTTGTTTTTCTGTTGTTGAATTGTTTAAGTTTTTATGTATCTTTTATACTAACCTCTTGCTACCTATTTTGTATATTCTCCCATTTAACTAATCTTTTTAATGTATTTTTTTTCTTTCACTGTGCAAAATCTTTTAATTTGAGGTAATCCTTATTTTTGCTGGGTTTATTTATTTATTTCTCTGGGTTGAGTCACCAAAGACATTTTTGTCATTGATGTCATGTCATATTGCCAATACTTTCTTTATTGTTGATTGTCTTGTATATAAGTCTAATTCATTTGGGATTTGTTTTTGTGCTTGCGGTTTAGAGAGTAAGCCAGCCTCATTATTTTCTATGTGATCTTTCAGATTTTCCAGCACCATTTTATTTATTTTTTAATTATAATAGTTTATTTTTACATCATTTTGTGCCTTTTCCATTGCAGTTGTAATCCCCATGGACTTCCATTACGATAGTTTGTGCCCCCCCCCCCATGGTTTGATCCCATTCCCCACCTCACCTCCATAAAATGTCTCTGGTATATAGTTGTTAATTATTATTACTCCCCCCCCCCATCCTTTATACTCTCTGCTATGAGTGAAACTATCTGATACTTTTCTTTTTCTTAATGGCTTATTTCACTAATCATGATCCCTTCCTATACCATCCATGTTCCAGCACCATTTATTAAAGAGACTCCTTTGCCTGTTATATAATCATGGCTGCTTTAATGAATGAAGCTTTGTTGTGTACTTGTATTTATTTTTGAACTTTCTGTTCTATTTCATTGATACATATGCTATGCCAAGACTGTTGCTTTAGTACAGTAGCTTTATAGTATAAAGTAAGGTAACATGATGCCACCATTTCTCTCCATTTTTTCCTCCTCAGGATTGCCCTTGCTATTCAAAACCTTTTATGCTTCCATAAAATTTCAGTATTTTTTGGTTTGATGTTTATGAAGAATTCTGTTGGTATTTTGATGAGGATTGCTTTACATTTATAAGTCACTTTAAATAGGTTACTGGTTTTGATTGGGTTGATTTTCTTCATCCGTAAGATGCCTTTTCATCTCCTTGTTGCTTACACCTTCAGTAACATTTTATATTTCTTATTCTTCACAAACTCTTTGGTGAGGTAGTTATAAGGTATTTGATTCTTTTTGAAGCACTTGTGAATGGAATTTCAATTACTTGATCATTGTATATAAAAATGTGATTTTTATATGCTAATTTATTATCCCACTTTATTGTATTATTTCTAATAGCTTTTTGGTGGATTCTTTAGGGTTTTCTAGATATATATATAATACCATAGCTATGCACAGTGATAGTTTTACTTCTTTCCTGACTTAGAGTCCTTTCACTTCCTGTTGTCTTGTCTGATTGCACTAGCCCAAAACTCTTAATATTAAATTAAACAGAAGTAGTGACAAGGGGTATAGTTGTCTTAGTTTCAGTTTTTTACCATTATATGCCATTATTTGGTTTGTAATACAAGATTTATTATTACATTGAGGTTGGTTCCTTCTTATTCCCATCTGTTTAAAGTTTTTATTGTAAATGGATGTGGGCTGCTATAAAATGAATTTTCTGAATCTGTTAATGTAATCTCATGATTTTTATCTTTACTTTTGTTGATATTATACAGAAATACATATATTTTGTTGTTAAATATACTTTTGTTGATACATAGATTTACATGTATTTAAACATTCATGTATCGTGGGGTTTATCTCACTTAATCATGATATTATAATCATTCTGATATATTGTTGAATTCCTGTTAGTATTTTGTTGAAGATTTTTACATCACTGTTCAGGGGTATTAGTCAGATAACTTTCTTTTGTGCTGTCTATATTTGCTTTGGTATTAAGCTAATGTCATCATAAAATATATTAGGAAACATTTCCTCTTGGAATTTTTGTGTTGACATGCTAAGTTTCTTGATTGATTATTGTGATATAAACAATCATATACATATATCACTTTTTAAAGTGTACAGTGCAATTTTGTTAACTACAGGTATAGTGTTTTACAACAGATCTCTAAAACTTAACTTGCTTAGCTGAACCCTACAGTGTTGATTATCAAATTCACACATCAGCTCTTTAGTAATATGAATTTGGCTTTTATTATATAAGTTGAATAATGCATTGTTTGTCCTTCCTTCTCTGACTGTTTTTATTTCACTAAGCATATGTCCTCACGGTTCCCATGTTGTTACATATTGTTTAATGTTTAATTTTGGAGCTGAATATTCCATTTTTAAATATACCACATTTTCTTTATGTAGTCATTCATTAATGTACATTTGGTTGTTTCTGTGTCTTGGTTGTGAGGAGTGCAGCAGTGATTATAGTAGTGCCAAAATCTTTTCCAGATTAAGATTCAAATTCCATGGATAAATAATCAGAAATAGGATTGCTAGTCACATGGTAGTCCTATTTTTTAATATCTTCATGATCCTTTGTTTTATACATTGAAAATACCTTACATTTCCAGCAACAAGAATTCTGCATTCTCCACATCCACTCCAGCACTTTTGTCCTTTCATTTTTGGATAATTACCATCTTGACTGGTTTAAGTGTTGACCATGTGTGTATCTTCTTTTGAGAAATGCCTATTCATGACTTTAGGCTAATTTAAAATCAGATTATTAGTTTTTGTTGTTTGTTTGTTTGTTTTTGCTATTTAACTGTAGGAATTCCTTGGATATTTTAAAAATTAACTCCTTAACAAATTGTAGATATTTTCTCCCAGTTCATAGGTTGCCTTTTTACTCTGATGTTTTGTTTGCTTTGTGGAAACTTTTTTCATTTAATCCTTCTTGTGATCAGTTAAACATGTATGTGTGGAGTTATTTCTAGAAGTCTGATTTGTCTTTCTACTGGTGCCATATTGTTTTAATTACTATATCTTTCTAATATATTTAGAAATCAAGACTTGTTATGTCTCCAGTTTTGTTTTTCCTCATGATTTTGGCTATTTGAAGTCATTGTGGTTCTGTATAAATTTTAGATTTTATTATTTCTGTAAAAAAATACCACCATGATTTTCATAGAAACTGCACTAAATTTGTAGATTGTTTTGAGTAGCTATATTTTAAGAATGTTAAGTCTCCCAGTCTATGAATATAGGATGTTTGATCCTATGTATTTCATAATTTTTAATGCTATTTTTAAATGGGATTATTTTCCTAATTTCCTTTTCAGGTAGTTTAGTGTGGTTAATTATTTTTGTATTTTGTTTTTATATCCTGAATTTTCTGAATTTATTAAATTTTTTTTATTACAAAGTTTATTTTTACATCATTTTGCACATTTTTTTTTTCCATCTCGATTGTAATCCCC